ACAAATCTGATGTGAGTGTTTTGAGCCTGCAATGCTTTCGTCGAAACGTTCAGGTTTTCCCTCAAATTGTTTACCTGTGTTTAGATCGCGATTATTGCCAGTAGCTAAAACGGCATCATTTGACACATCTGGCTCTGCCTTCAACGTTTTATCAAGCCATGTCAATATTTCATTTATACTAGCATTAGTGTTGATCCATCCCTCAATGATATTCTTAGTGGAAAATATTGAAGTCAGTTGCTCGTTCTGACTAAAAGAATCTACCTGAGTGTGAGCGAGGTATAGTTCAAAACCCACACACAGCACTTGACTTTTGTCGACTTTACCTAGCTTTAAAATGCCTGCCGAGGAGGATTTATCATATCCAATTAGTTTAAATACATAGTAAATCACGCTGCTAGATAACCATTGTCCTATGTTGTACTTGAAAAATCCCGTGTACTCCTTAATAATCGAGAAAAAAACATATTGAAACAGACAAAAAGCAATAATTGGATGCCCAAGGAAACTCGGCTTGCCAACGCCAGAAAAATACATAATGTAGTTATAATCATGTAGCACGCCCTTAAACAGTTTAAATGGTTAAATGCCACGTAATCGTGATGCAAAAAAGGCTCATTCCGACAATAAACAGTCGACTTTGGCCCCATCTACATGAGAAGTAAAACCGGTACAAGCTCGTGTCGGTTATAATAAGAAACTATTGGATGAGGTTGAGCACGATATCAAGAATTATTCAGACCGATGTCATTGTTATCTGCCGAAGCGAACACGAGGCGTATAACATTGACAGAGAATTATCTGCAGGTAGTTGACCAATCACAGCCGAGAATGTTCACATAGTGAATAAAAAATTCTTGATATCTGTAGGTTATGACGTCATAACCTACAGATAATAGTTTCAACAAATATGGCCGCCATTAAAAGCCGGTTTTGAAAACAAATCAAACAACAGCGATGTTTGCCACAGCTTCTAAAAAGGATGTGAAAGCTTTTAAAAGAAAAGGCTACGGAAAACACTAAAAAAGTGGCGAAGCTAGCTTTGAACACATTTACAACATATTTAAACGGGGAGGAAAATACCTCAGAGCCTTTTAAACTCAAATGAAAGTTCCGATCGGTTTGAAATGAACACAACGCGGGCGCAAAAAAGCTAAGGACAAAAACCAAACGGCAGACAAGCGTAAAAATAGCGTGCGAAGGAGGCGCTATGCAGACGAGGATTTTTCATTATTTCGTGTCAATCGCATGTAAAAATTCAAAAAATTATGATTTTCAACCCGGTTTGACTTCCCTGCCTTATGCAAAACATGACGTTTAGCGAAAAAACAAAAGCCACTCAGATAGCACGAGTTATTAACATGATCACGTGAAATACACGAATCTTGCATTTCCGCATTCCACAGATGTCGAGAAACGAAAACTACGTATTACAAGAGTAAAAAATGACATGCTTTCTCTCGATTTGTTTTAAATCAATATGAAACGAATTTTCTAGATAAAGCACAATTATTTTTAATCGGCTTCATTTAATGACTTGAAAAACGTGCTTTCAAAGATCGTCACGAATTCCAACTGTTCAAAGTTCGAAGTTTGAAGGTCACGATCACAGATGCACATGTGCTACATTAAATAAAGTAATTCATTTTGGAAATTACTAATTTTGCATAAAAATAGCTAATGTATGTTTTAAAGTGCATACGAAAGAAAAATTTGTTTTCAAGAATGAAAAATTTGTTTTCAAGAACAAAGACCTGTCAAAATTGCAAAGTGAATTTTTTCAAAAAACTACTGATTCAGTGCATGATTTTCGATTTCATATGGAAGATACTTGAATTGGTTGTAATTGGTTGGATTTCAACTTAAAATATAAAATTTATCGCATCGTTAAAATGAGAATGCGTTCACTTTTTTGTGAACAGTAAAAATCATACGTACTTTGATTGTGTGAAACTCCTTACACCAAGGTCTTTTCAATATCCCAACAGCGTACTTTTCAAAAATGCGCAGTATTTTGGCGATAAGCTGCAAACCCTTCACACTATTTTTTTCCACCCTTTCCAATATATCTGATAGAATCGCGTGGATTGGAAGAATACAGAAGCATTCCATTATGCTATGCTGCTCCAAAAATTGGAAACTACTTTCTTTTACTGGCTTCTCTGAATCCTCGTTCAGAGTGAAATTTTTGTAATCCTCTTTCAGCTGATCCTTCATCTAAATGCAACAAAAAGACGACATAAGCTTTTAACGGCGCACTACTTCAATATTTTTCTACGCTACGTCAATAAAGACGTCCCAACAAATGTCAGAGAGAAATGCATATGGTCAGCTTCTGCTAATTGGTCCAAAGACTTTTAGACGTGAAAAGCCACAAGCCAAATGAGATTTCTATTTTTGTCAATGAAAACTGCCACATGTATGTGCTGAATTGTGCCAGCAAATGTTGCTGACATCCAAGGTTTTAACTTACCACACGGTCACTGTTATGAAGACTGGGCATTTCTGTTTTTAAAGATCCCCAACTTTGGATAACTGCTTTTGTTTTATTTTGAAGGTCTGGAAAAAAAGTGAACATATTTGTGAGCCAGTTCACAGGGATTACAGCTCAGAACAAACCAAACTAACATTGGCTACAGTTTTCATGACGTGAAAACTCAGGAAAAAATCAGACAATTCACGCTCCAACCCAGTTCTGAGAATGTGAAAATGCCAACAACAAGTGAATACTGATGGAAAATTATTGGTCAACCTTAATTGCTAGGAAGTAATAAGCCTAAATTACTTCGATATGATTAAAGTGAGCAATGTTAACAAGGTGCATGTAAGTATGAGCAAAATTAGTGCAGCAGCATGGCAGTAGACAAATACTTGGAGAGGGGGGGGGCTATACTAATATATGCATGTTCCACTTTATTAAGTTCTATTGAAATTAACAGTTATTACCGATTACAACTTATGAATATATGAAGTTAGCCCAACAATTATCAATTTGCCACATTCCGTGTGTAGTGACAAATTCAGACAGATACTTTACTACAGCATATCAAAAGTGTTTAGTGTTCATTTAATTGAAAAACAATGAAAAAAATTAATCAAAATGAATAAATAGTTTAGCTATAACATTTTTGCATAGCTGGTGCTAAAATTTTGGGTGGTTTTGCCAATGATTAAATACATAACTCTCATATAACTTTGCCATGTTTTGCTACTATAGCAAATTCAAAGAAAATTGAGCTGCTCTAGTTTATAATACAGGACACAGCGTTTTCTGAGCATGTATATTGTACTTCTCTGTATGTCTAAATTATTAAAGCTCGAAATGAATTTACTCAACATACCATTAGTCAGCAAGATGAAAGTGAAGATAAAAGAACAGTATCAATAACCATTTGTGTTTCATATTTCATTAATACAAATCAAAAGCAACCAAAATTTCATTTCAAACAAGCATAGGCAATGAATTCTTGCTTTCAGCAGTATGATTTAAAAGAAGCTAATGCAGTCAACATTCTTTTTGATTGCTAAAGTGACTTAGTTTCAGAACGCACAGAGACGTCTGCAGAAGCCAATATAGTTGCACAACAAGTCAAATTTCAATTTCTCAGAGACCATATAGTGCAAAGCAGCTGAAATGCTGAATATGGTGATAATCTAGCATTTCCTTAAACGCATTGCTTTAAAATTACCTCATGTTTTCATTAATTATCAGCACAAAAATTCTTCCGATGTGAATCTTTTAGCAGCACTAAATACTAACTCAAATTCAAGAATTCTGTAACTAAGAATTAAAGAACATGCCATGCTCTCAAGTTTCACTTTCAGCTGTTGCAAACATGAAATATCTTGGAATTGATGAATTTCTACTCTAACCATACTAGGAATTGAACTACACATTCACCCATTTTCACGCTTTCAATAAACCTTAACTCCTATTTCATAACAAAATTTTATAAAATCGTTGAAGCAAATATGTTGTTTACTTACTTTGCTGTGGCCATTTTGAAGGATTTCGTATAAAGAACGTGTTCACATTAGACAACTAACACATGTTTACTTTTATAGCACAGCTTAACAAAACTTTGTAATGATGAATACGCATTTTTTGCCAAATAAAAGATTTGGGAAAAATCCAACGCAATACGTTGTTCAACACGAAGAGAAATAAATAAGTAATTATTAATCATCCATATCAAAAACGGATATTACAAAGACGCAAATATGGCTCGGCGGGTCATATCCGGTCTTTTTCTTTCCACAAACAAAAGAGTCTTCAGAATTTTGAATCTCTTTAATGCGTGGCGGTAATTTATTTTATCTTATAAAATTTCAGTTATATTACGAAATCTGACATTGGGTTTCGCGAATGAGCGATGCTGTATAAAAATAAGTCGTTTCACGAGTTAAAATTTGACAAGGTAAAATATCAAATCACACATTGCGAAGGAGAATAATTTTAAATAGCTGTAATTTCTTAGCCACGTCATTATGCTAAACGCAGGTGAGATGAATAATACGAAATGCACATGACGTTTTGCCCTACATGACTGTCAAAAATTGTCGGAGTATTCTCAAACAGAAATTTATCAAACATTGAACCTCACACCGGAACTCCGTTCGTTCAAATATTAGCTGTCGCACGAATATATATTTTTCCATCACATAAATATTTCAAAGCGTGTGCAGTCAAGCAACTGGAAATTTGCTTTTAAAAGATCGATCGAAAACATTCTATTTGTGCTCGAAAATATTATCGTTTTTCTTAAATGTAAAACCGATTTTCGCAAAAATTCGAATCGATTTCTGCAATTTGCAATGTCATTGTCCTAAATTTATATATTATATATATTTATCTCTGATATTTGATTGCATAAGTGAATGCGGTTAGCCCGATCAGTGTTCCTATTGGTCAACAAATGCAGCGGCTTGGCTGCCTTCTGATTAAAGAGCCAATGACAGCCAACATGACTTATCCACTGTGGAATCCATATTTGCATTTTCCGAACGTGATAGAATTATCCGGAGAACTATTTTGTCAGTTATGGACTTAAAAGCTAGAAAATTGATGGGTAGAGTGTTTTAATGTTGCTGTTCCTGCGAAGCGAATTGATATATTTGAATAATAATGCCAAAGTAAAAGTACACATCTAAACATTGTCAGAAGTTGGCATTTGATCAAAGCATCTGCCAATTGTTTTCGAATGACCGGAACTTTTTCGAACAATCCTCAGTAAAATCTTTCAAATGTTAGACTTGGACAATGTTAAAATCACACTCCAAGATTTATTAATACAAGCATACGTCTTTTCTCTGGTATTCTGTGGCACCTACGGGCCACAGAATTCGCAAAACCCACTCATGAGTCGTGATGACTATGCCAAGAACTAACAATTTGAACGATTGAAATTAGGGAAACTTTATATTGACACCTCAATGGCGGTTAATTTGAATTTATGATTTGAAAATTTGAATCAAGTTTAGTTGTAAAAGGACTGCGTTTTTTTCCAATTGTCTAATAAATTCGCGTATCTTGTGTGTCCTGCAAAAACTCAAATGTTTATATAGTAAGCATTTCTCTTAGAAAAGATGATTCCTGGACGTCCTGAAGTTGTGAATTTCGATGAATATGGTTTCGCCATTTTCGCCGAAGGAAGTCTTTTTGCTGCCGATGACAACAAATGCCATTGCTACAGGTTATATGAGAAGACTTTTAGTTGATCTTAACTTATAATTTTCTAGTAGTTTCAAATCTATGTATGAAGATATTTTAGCATGCCTGACTGAAAATGAAAATCATTCATCAAGTGAGCTACTAAGATTTACATGTTTTTGAGTATAATCGTTTACGGTTTTAATACATCGTATTTTCTTAAGCCAGTTTTGCCACAGAATATTCACATAAGGCATATTTGTCACTCAGCTATTGCAGTAAAAAGAAGAAATACACCTTGACATGAACTGGTTGAATGACAAACCAATGGTGTACTTATAGCACTTACGTACACAAAATCATTGGATTCTAATTCAGCTTGTTGATGTTTTCTCAATTGCGAAGACTTCCATTTTTGTTGGTCACACACAATCACTTGACATAAAAAATTTGCCTTTTGTACCTCTTAGAAGGATATTGAAAAACTATTACAGCATATGTTTTCAAATAAATGACCTTAAGAGTTTCGACATAGTTTAAATATCCATACTTTGTAAGGTCTTAAATATTGTCTATGCTTTGAGTCAAGAATAACAACAGAAAACAAAATTGTCACACATATGATTGGACTCAAGTGAGATCTGCTCTAATTCATATCTGCACAGAAAATATTAAGTTGATTATAAAGCATAGCCTTATGTCAAAAAACCATGACCAGCCGACAATTAAAAGAAGTATAATATAAAACAAATAATATTCTGTCAGAGGATGACTTTGAAATAAAGTCGAAAATTTACAGTTTACTTCTTGTCTTGTTTTGATTCATATTTTGCAATCTCAAGATGTCTTGCTTCTTCGGAATTTGTTTTATATTATAGCCTTATGTGATAGGTAATAACTTCTGAAAACATGGTCTGGTCATCAGTGATGTAACAACATTACCTTGAAAAAAGTTATTATTGGAGAAGGTGGAAATGGATGTTTAAATTTATTTTATGGACATTGAATTTATATTTGAACAGTTTTTTGACAAAACAATCGAAAAGTTTACAAAGAGATTTTGTTTGTTCATTAAAGTAATTAGTACATATTATGAAATAGAAACAATAAAACATGTGCACTGCTTGGTCTGTAGTCAAGCTTGCATTAGCATGTGTAAACCATTCAGAGCTATATCATTTAAATCAATTAAAGCAAATTTGCAAAATCAATCATGAATATATGTTATAGGACAAAAATTTATCTGTTTTGCATTGTTATAGTTTTGTAAAAAAAAATCAAAGATGTTTCTGGGTTTGCAGTAGCTTATGAAAACTTTGGAGACATTTGGAAGAACTCTTGAGTATGTGAAAACATTACAATCTCTGGCTAGCATCGACTTGCTCTCATGTTCTTCCAAAAGGTCTGTTCAGTTTGCATAAACTTGTGCAAACACAGTAAATGTCTTTTATTTCTCAATTCCAAACACTTTGCCCTTTTTGTTTATTGTTTGTATTGAAAATCATTGATAATTTATAAAAACGTTTGATGTGATTGTTTTTTAATGAAAGCAGTTATATTGCCCTGTCACAAGTTTAGTAATGTAATGCAACATCCCAAATATTACAATTTTTCATGTCTTTACAAATCCACCCCATCCCATGCCTGATGATGAATCTGATACTTATCCAAAATAACCCATAGGTGCTTTTTTAGCAATTCACCTCCTTCATGACTCATCTATATCACATTTACCTCTTTGATCCTTAATAGAATCTCAAATTTTAACAGCAATGCAATTTCTTCATTTCATGCAGCCTCCATAAAGAATCGGTTTGTGATGAGGATGGTTTTCAAGGATTGTGGAATAATGTAAAAAAAAGCCTGGATCCAAATACTTCTTGTTCACCCCAAAAGGTTTGTTCATTATGTTAGGGATTACCTCACAGGTTTCTCTCGTTATTTCACACACCACCATTTCACACACCAACATTTTACACACCGCCATTTCACACACCCCCATTTCACACACCAACATTTTACACACCACCATTTCACACACCACCATTTCACACACCAACATTTTACACACCGCCATTTCACACACTTGTAATGAACTTATATTGCCGTTTTTCAACCACTGATGTTGCGAAGTTTTTGTGGTTACGGATCGACGGGGGGTGGGGTGGTGGGAGATACCAAATGGGAAATGACCAGCCTGCATTGCCCTTATTGTTTGGCTGAAAACGGGCATTTCAGACCTAATTATGCTTGTTTTAACGAACTTATAGCAAAATGGATATATGTACATGTGATAATTAAAAGCCGGAAAAGTCTAATTTTCATCTGTCCCACTTTCGTACTCTTTGGCGATACAAATGCTTTACAGGTCTTCCTTTTCATTTGATAGTTGAGTTTTCGCAGTGACGACACACGGGATTGTCGACTTTGGCCTTTTCGAAGTGCTCCCAAACTACGCTTGGCATGATTTGCTATTAGTTAGACTTTTTTCACATATACGAGAACTGTTGCTATGTCTATCAATTTTTCAATTTAATGTGGCGTATTTATAGTGTTGCTGGCGATGACTCATAGCTAGATCAAATTAAAACTTAGCCAACAATTGCCGCGTGCTGGTTATGACTCATACATCAAATTGCTGAAAGTTAGCCAACAATTGCTGCACACGTGTGATTGGTTCTTTGGATTAATAATAGTATACAAAACCATTTAAAAACCGCTCTAAAGACATTAAAAAACCGGCATATTTTTCGATATTTTCGGTATATCGATATTTCGATATACCGAAAAAACCAATATCGATATAAACCGATATAAAAAAACGATATATATCGATATTTTGATGTACCGCAACAGCCTAGATAGTACTTCAGTAGCTGTATAAGTGTTATGTGTTAAAGAAGGAGAAAACCCCACAAAAATTGTAACTTGGTTGTGCGAAAATGTAGTGAAATGGGACCGATAAAATGTATACGATTGAGCCAATATCCGGTTTCACTTTTTGTACTTATTGCATACGTCAATGCGTTATCCAATATATCCTTATTAGGCAATATCATATCTGTCTTTAGCTTATTTTAACTTTGTATCCCATGTACATTCAAGCTCTTCTCAAATCTTACAATAACTTTACTAAAAAATGTCTCTCTAAAGCTACATTTGGCCAAACCAAACATCAAAAATGGGAAATTTTGCCTTTATTATCAAGTGAATTAGCATTTGGTCCGTTTTAAATGGTTCGAACTGCTCTGTACCTTTTTCATCTCATCCTTGAGTGAGCTTTGTTGGCCTTTGATTAAATATATTCTCGCCCTTTACATTCCCAGACAGATTCCCAATACGGAAGTTTAAAAAATGCTATCTCGTGAGAAAATTTACATATCGCAGTTTCTCACTCAATATTGTCACAATGCCAATACCATTTTAGTCGAATTATGACTTTCCAATTTCTGGCAAAAAGTTGGCTCGCTTTTCATTTCCAGTGTGTCAAGTCATCTAACGAGCATTCATTTGAACAGCAAGATGAGAGAATAGAGCAATGGGTTTTGGGGAGGGGGCACCGACCATTTATGACTTACTTTTTTGCTCAGTTTGAGATTAAATGAATCATCTCAGGCTTATTAAATTTCAGTGTGTATACGACGATTAATTCGTGCAGTAAGACCTTCCGTGAAACTTACTTTACATTACTTTATTCTTAAACTGCTTAATTAGTACAGGAAGAATTCCTCAAAATGCTGTCGAAGTTTGACACACGCTAGGCACTATTGTTTTCGTTGCCAATTTCTTGTGGTTTAGTTAAGGAGTTTTATCAAGAAAGGAATACCCTCGTCACTGAGAGGAGAATTCTGGCAACTTGTTGCTGGAAGCAAGCTCCTGGCAAAACAAGCTGACTTTGTTTATCAGGTATTTAACATGTGTGTTTCATGAAGTTTTTAGTTATCCATATGATCTACCCACCTGGTGATCTCAAAATAGACGCATTGATTATCTGACGTCGTTTTTAACGATGGTTTGTGTCCATTTAAGTAAAACTTTTCTTGTGCTTGAGATAACTTTTTGTTCTATCCCAAGGACCGGTTGCACGGGAGGCGGGTGTATTGCTGTCCAACCGATAACTCGCTTTCAACTTCAACGGATACGTTTCATCCAATGTTTAATTTGCTTTGAGCGATGCTTTAACAACTTTAATCCATTGGATAAAAATCGCTATCCACTGGGTATATTTATTTATAGCTTAGAGGAAGTTTAATTTCACTTTCCAATGGAAAAAAGTGGTCACATGAAGCACCTTCAAGTCATGTTCTTAGCAGGATCTGCCAAGCGCTTCCACGAAAGCTCGATCACTGTGTGAATTTCCAAAAACCTGAAAGGATAAGAACTAATGAAGGAAAGGTTATCTGAATATTTTGCATATCAGTAGCTGAAGACCTTCAAGGAACAAACCTGGACAATGGTGATCTTTTGTAAGACAGTGGCTATGCCTGCCTTCATTTCATGTCTTATCCAAATCCTCAAACATTGCTCGAACGTGTGTTTTCAATAAGTGGCTGAGCCGCTGAAGAGCACTCGCTCTACAACAAAAAGAAATTTTGGTATTTTTAGAAGGCTGTTGAATGTTTTACATACCAAATCCGAATGAGACATGAAAGAGCGTGGATCAGAGCTGTGTTTGTTTTACTCGACAAAGCAATAGATTTTAATGAACCATAGAATGAACCTGACAGTGAAGATAATGAAGATTTAGTTGTTGTCACTGAATATTAAAATCATTAGACAGAACATACTGTTTGAAATCAATAAAAGGATCGTTACCTAAAATTGTTTCATCTCCTACCAAATGGAACGAACATTGTTTGCCATTTCATACGAAAACCGCTCAACATATTGATAGCTAGATGTGTATGATAATTTATCCAATTTTGCAAATATAGAATCACATATATTTGCATTATTCACTGCAAAAGCTACTTTTTGTGCCAAGCATTTTCATCCCCTTATTCATTGGATAGCGGATGGAACTAACCAATGGGTAAGATGGATAGCGGATGGAACTAACCAATGAATAAGAGTTATCGACGGGATCAGCTCTCCTCCCTTCGTGCAATCGACCCCTGGGCATGAACAAAAATATACATATCTATACTATCATTTCCTTTCGGAGACTTTTGTCATAATGTGTTGATGAACCAATATGTTGATCCCTTTTTTGGGTATTTGATTGAAATGTGATAGTCATCTGCCACAGAATTTGAGCACTGAGCATGCGCACAATCATCGAGTGTGATGTTATGCCAAATTTTTCAGGAGAAATTGCTGGAAGTTCGTGAAATGCTCGTGGATCTTGGCGTGACGGAATACAATAGCAAGACTACGGCAAGGGTCATTGGGAGAATGATAGGTACACCAAGGATTGTCTAGAATATGTATTACATTCTCGAAAGTGCGAGGATAATTGTGAGCAAGCCAATATGAACTACTATTTGAAACTGCGCTTGTGCCTTTTTACAAAAACATTGCGTTCTAAGCAGTGGCGTCTCCAGCTCGATAATTAGGGGGGATTTTATTCATATATTCATGTTTTTCCGTATTACAGCTATTTGCAATTGACCGTGGGGCGTGCATAAATTAACTTTTGTTATAGTTCAAAACTTAACGTTACTAACGGCGAAAGGCTGATTTCTATTCAGTGCAAATTGCCATGCGATCGACTTTTTGCAAACACTTTCTTTTGAATTGTGTACAGCAGTGTGAAACTGTTCCGGTCGACAGCTTACAACTGAAAAGAAAGTGATCAGAAAATGTCGACCGCGAGACAATTTGCACTGAATGGAAATCAGCCTTTACTAATTGTTGCTAAGGCGTACGCGTTTGGTTATGGAAGATGTTGTTTTTATTTGAAAAAAAGAGTCACATGTTGAAATATAGCAAGTTTGAAATCAAACGACGTTTGGAAACGTAAAATTCTATCGCTGGGTATAAGACTTTAAATTAGTATTGGTGAGACATATTGTGTCTCTGTCGTAGACTTGGAGAGCAGCACTTTGTTATTAACCAATGCTATCTCAGGGTTACGCTTTCGCAACAATCAGATAGCTGTTTAGCAACGTCAAGTTTTGAAACCATAACTAAAGTTAAATTTATGCACGTCGCACGGGCAATTTTGAAATCAGTTGTTTCTCAGGGATTAAAACATGAATATACGAATGTTGCCCCCTCACTTATTGAGCTGGTGACGCCACCACAGTACAGTGAATATACGGTAGAGCCACTCCATTGAATATTTTCGTGCCACACATATCGTATTACACATGTGATCAAAGTGGCAGCCAGTCAATTGCTTTTTTGACCAATAGGAATGATAAAATAGCTAACGGCAGCCAGTAATCTAATCAAGTAAACAGCAGCCAGCTGCACACGAAGTGGACCTACTGTATGTTCCCTATACTGTGATGCCACTGATCCTAAGATAAGGCCTTTTCCGAAGGGAGATTTTACGAGATCCAAAACATTCTTTCGCTTTTGTTACAGTGCACTTTTTACCGTTGTAACCATGTATTGAGAACGTGGACATCATTTCAAATTTAGATTCCTTTGAGAATGAAGATGACGATCTCCAGAAAACCGACAAAAAATTGAATACAGATGAACGTAGCAAGCTGAATGCTTTCAGACAAGCTCTTCTCGATGCAGGTAACGGATGAGTCCAGTAAGGTTGAGAAAAAGGTCGCGGCTTCTCTCCATTTTTTTCATTCATCACGTATTGATATCCAGAAGGAAAAACGGGGAAGTGATGATCCAGGAACGATTTATTGATTTCAGTAAATATGAAATCATCTTTTGCAGAGCGATGACGTATGCTTCGAATGTAGAGAATTTTTGGAAAAAATCTGTTATTGTTTGCATATAAATAGGTGAATTCCCTGCAGAAATTTCGAAATACAATAAGGTACAGAAATTTCGAGTGTTAATGAAAAATTAGGGAAACGTTTGCAAGCTTTCCAGCTAGGTCAACCAAAACAACGACATGTGATGCTCTCAATTTCTCTGATTTTCTCTCTCGCTTTCTTTCAGAAAGAGAAATTAGTTGTTGAATAAAATTGCCTTGATACTAAGTGCAACTTATGTTTACGAAACAGATGTGATGTGAAAGTTAGTGCGCTTCAAACAAAAGTATTTTGAAAATGGATTTCAAAAGCCAACCTAAAACAACGATGTGTTGTCACCAATACAACTGCATCGCCAACAGAAGTTTTCTGTAATTTATTAAGAAACAATGGCCATGTAGCTATTTTTGTGGGACTAAGAACTAAGAGGCTGTTTTCATGAATCCGGCTAACCGAGATTCAACGAGGCGTGAAAGGATTTTGAGGCATTAAAAGTAGTAAAAACTTTAAGCAAAAAAATTACAAAAACTACAATCGTTCAGTCCCACAAGTCATTCCTGTTGTAATTATCAAATTAGGCATCAATAGTAATTGTCATGTTAAATGCTTCGCGTATTTATAAAGTCAGAATATTGTAAAAATGATCAAGAAGATTTATCTGATGATAAGTGTTGAATCGTTCCCATTTGTCAAAATCATTTATCGCTTTGTTGAATCCCGGTTACTTGGGGTCATGTATAAGAGCTCAGGCATAACAGCCTGACAGTTTTATCAATGGGTTGAAACTCGTGGTCTATGAGCAGAGCACGTCTTGCAAACTATGAGCTCAGCTGGAAGTACAATAGAACAGCTCCCACAGACTCGGGTATTTTATCTATTTTGTGTTAAGTTTTTTATTCATCAACTTAGAACTTGCGAATTAAAAATTTGTCCACCCTTATGAACAGGGGTGGAAACACCCTAATGAACAGAGGTGGATCCAGCGTTCGTCAAAATAAATTATAACTGCTCAATTTTAGATTCTAAGTACTTTCAGACAAACGCTATTGATTTTGAATTTCTAAAGAATATAATTTTACTAATGGCCTTGCCTCTAACGTGCTTAGAAATGTAAATCTATGTCAAAATGTGCTACAGTAATTTATTTTGACGTACCCTGGATCTGCGACTGCTAATGAGTGTATGCTTTGATCAAATCATTAAGTGCTTTACTCGAATGTTACTTTATTAAAGGTGGAAAAAATTAAGGGTGATAGACTTCTGACGCTTAGCCATTTAGTCAAATCAATTTTAACGCAGAAACATTAAAAAAAGTTCGTTTACACTAATTTATACTCCATTCAGAAAGAACATTTCCGACCCACAAAATGTTCATGGAAGGAACGACCTTGGGCAAAGAAGGACGCGCTGCACTTTTTCGCATCCTGTCCGTTTATATCCTTTACAATCCTCAAGTTTCCTACTGTCAAGGTGAGAAGATTCGAACATGACTTAAAATTTTTTTGTATTTTCCTTATTCTTGTAATACGTGAGCTGGATGTGAAGCTTAAAAAGCCTCTCTTCAGCGGTGTATTTGGGGTGCGTGGGGCTGTGAAACATTTATTTAAATGATTCACCTGCAATGAGCTTATGATTTTGTGATTTTACACGCTTGATCATTATACAATACGTGCCAGTAAATGAAAGCCATTAGATTCCTATAACATTAAGTAGTTCGTGGCAGTTTATTTTATCCGCTTATACAAACAGTACGACGATTTCTGTTCGTACTCTCCTTCCTCTTCTTGAATGTTTCAGTTTTTGAGCATCAGATGCGTCAAGAACAATATGCCTCAAAACCTACATGTAATTTGATTAATGATGGTCATTTTCATTGTTATTTTTGAAAAAATTAATTCGTTCATATATATGTTAAATTATTCTTTTTTTTCTATTCTGTTTCAATGTTTATATATCCACATTTTCATTTACGAGTGCTGCTTCATGATCTTTTTTTATTGTTATTCTATAAGAGACCCACTTTATAACATTTGCTCCAAGGAAAGATTGACTTTCGTCCTTTATTTATTGTTTTATTTCACGAGTTATCTGTGAGTCATTCAACTCTGATAAACTTATTTCACCAGTAAACACCTTCGTTTCCTTAAGTTAAGTATGCTGGACGCCATTGTTGATACATTTTCGTATACGTACTTAGGGATGTCTTACATCGGTGGAATGCTGCTCATACAGATGTCTGAAGAGGTATTACGTTAATTTCAACTTTACGTTCGGATTAATATGACTGCATTGTCGTTAGTGTATCGCATTCGGGCTTTTGGACCGCTAGCTTTCCATGCAGCCCAGATCGGTTAAACTCGCATGTAAAAGCAATATGAAAGAAGGAGTAGACAACACATGTGTTTGGACACCTAAAGATAAACGCTAAAAAACGATTTTTATTATTTTAGGATGCGTTTTGGATGTTTGTATCTTTGATAGAGAGACCAAAATACCTGTCGGGTTATTTTGATGCTACACTTTCAAAGTAAGCTTGTTCTTTCAAACGTAGTTCATGAAACGGGCGAATTCGGCTGGAAGATAGCATATAGCATCAATATGAGCTAAAATGCGTGACTTTATCTCTAGACTCGCGTCTGTCGAGTTCTTCCATTTCCCATTTGTTCAAAGCGATGGTCATCCCTTACTGGAAGGCAGTCGTATATGTCTTTCAACAATTATTTGTCACATGGCTCTTTTTTATTTAATTTAGAATACAACGGCACTCCCAAGTATTTGAAGCTTTGTTGTGTCAAAAAATGCCAGCACTTTCGAAACATTTGGTGAGATGAAAATTTGTCGTACATTTTATTTTTCTATTACATAATTCTATAATCTTGTTTTTGACCTTGTTTTATATTTTCTGTCAGTGTGCTTGCTAGGTACTGAGTCTGGTGTTGAGATTATGTTTCACAATCTCGTCTTGAGCTCTAGGTTTTTAGGTCTTTGGTTTGCACTAAGTTGTTGGTTCTTGACTTACGTCAAGGTTTTAAAGGGGTAGTCTGACCTTAACACAACTTTCGTTCATATGAAAGTGTATATTGTTCTTACCTCTCTCACGAAATCCTAGGTTTCCAATTCAAATTTAACTCGAGAAATAATGCCTTAAATGTGTGTATTTTTGCCTCTTGTTCGATCGCCATTGTGTACGTGCAAGCGAAGCCGCAGTCCAGCAGCGGTTTTTGGTCGTGACGTCACTGCGCGGTGATCGTTGTCAACATTAGACAAAATATACTAGCAAAAGTAGAAATTACGCATTTTATTTTCTAAGTTTTTAAATTATTTTGCGCAATGGATACGGATTACTCAAACGATTCCTCTAGTAATTATTCTGGAAGCAGTGCTTCAAACTACGAAGAAATGATTAACGATCAAAACATGATTCAACCATATGCTTATGAGCCGATTGAAACAGACTCGAGCGACGAGCCTATGGACGACTCCGACGAAGTTCAGCTGTTGTAACAATGAATGAAGACTCAGCACAATTTGAGGGAATAGATACTCCGGACTGTATTACAGATAATCCTGTTTTTCGAAATCTTTGTTTAAATTATTGGGTATTACGACTGGCATGGAGTGAGTACAAACAACACTATGGTTCAAGAGCTGAAGAAGGACCTGAACACAAAAGACAAAGACATGTGGCTTACAGGCAACTGGTTCGATGGTGTTGGAATGTATTGGGCAAGGAAATTAGAGTACCACTACCATCTTTTGCTGTTAGCTACATTCAAGCACATTTCCAACCACCAGGTCTAGAAGAGGACTTTGTCTTTGAGGGTTTTAAATTCGCTGATGAATAATAATGGTAATGTAAACTATTATAGCCATATTTATAAGTATCGTTAATGATGAATTACTAATAAATAAAAATATAAATTGGATTTAAAATTAAATCGTGTTCCCAAAAGGGCGAGAAAATTGGGTAGCCAAGCCAATTATGGCGAGTAAGTCATATTCTTTTGTGCAAGGTATGATGGAAGATGTCTGCTGTTTTAATGTAAAAAATGTACATAACAAGATTTCTTTATCAGCAAACATTTCAAGAAAATATTGCATATATAGAAAAGCCAAACAAAGAAAGTATTATAAAAGCACAATAATAAGAGAATCTCTAATAGTAAAGTAGCACAATTTTTGGTTTTGCTATGCAAATTCATTAGCAAAGGCACTTTTTAATTATGTACACCAAAATCCTTGCATAGCACAAATAAAGAATTGGTTTGGCTTGGCCATTATAATTTGTATTTATTGTTCATTTACTAAATCCAATTTATATTTTTATTTATTAGTAATTCATCATTAACGATACTTATAAATATGGCTATAATAGTTTACATTACCATTATTATTCATCAGCGAATTTAAAACCCTCAAAGACAAAGTCCTCTTCTAGACCTGGTGGTTGGAAATGTGCTTGAATGTAGCTAACAGCAAAAGATGGTAGTGGTACTCTAATTTCCTTGCCCAATACATTCCAACACCATCGAACCAGTTGCCTGTAAGCCACATGTCTTTGTCTTTTGTGTTCAGGTCCTTCTTCAGCTCTTGAACCATAGTGTTGTTTGTACTCACTCCATGCCAGTCGTAATACCCAATAATTTAAACAAAGATTTCGAAAAACAGGATTATCTGTAATACAGTCCGGAGTATCTATTCCCTCAAATTGTGCTGAGTCTTCATTCATTGTTACTACAGCTGAACTTCGTCGGAGTCGTCCATAGGCTCGTCGCTCGAGTCTGTTTCAATCGGCTCATAAGCATATGGTTGAATCATGTTTTGATCGTTAATCATTTCTTCGTAGTTTGAAACACTGCTTCCAGAATAATTACTAGAGGAATCGTTTGAGTAATCCGTATCCATTGCGCAAAATAATTTAAAAACTTAGAAAATAAAATGCGTAATTTCTACTTTTGCTAGTATATTTTGTCTAATGTTGACAACGATCACCGCGCAGTGACGTCACGACGAAAAACCGCTGCTGGACTGCGGCTTCGCTTGCATGTACACAATGGCGATCGAAAAATACACACATTTAAGGCATTATTTCTCGAGTTAAATTTGAATTGGAAACCTAGGATTTCGCGAGAGAGGTAAGAACAATATATACTTTCATATGAGCGAAAGTTGTGTTAAGGTCAGACTACCCCTTTAAGTCGTGTCCCTTGAGCCACAATTCTACATTACTTCTTGTTCATATTATAGAAAGATGTTGCTGTTGACCCACTATTGTACATTACTCCTTGGTTTATGACCCTGTATACAAGTCTTCCGTGTTGGGATACCGTCCTTTTTATATGGGATCTATTCCTGTTGGAAGGTGAATAGACACTTGTTAGCCAGCATTTTTAAAGTATATATTAATGTATTTGTACACGTGTTGCCAGTTGATAGGCATGTACCTAAAGTTATTGACAGAGCCATGTTTCTATAGCATACATCTAATTTTCTCTCAATTCATAGGATTCTCAATTATCTTCCAAGCATCCCTTGCTATTCTTCGAACTATTTCGGGTATGTATGAGATGCGTGGACTTGACTTGCAAATTTTTAAAAATTATGGATCTAATTCAAAATTCATGGCCGGCAAACTTCATAATATAAGCAACCTTGACCAACGGCAACTTTTGGAAGAGAAGTTTTCACAATGCCTTTGCGCACTTATTTGATGAAAACTGATTTGGATACAACACGATGGCTAAATTATTTTCAACATGCAAGTTCACACCCACGTGACTTTGACGTGTACTCTACTGCGATTGGTAAAACAGCATTTGCGAGCACAAATAGTACAAGATTGCCTTTGTATTAATTAGTTTGTTAAAGCAAATTGCTAAACATAAGCGTTGTTTTTTCTCCTTTTAGACGAGTTATTGCATCTCACAGATATTGCTCAAGTTCTTCCCATCTTGCTTCACTTACCGCAAGACAGGTCAGTTCAAGCCTACGACCAGCTACCTTGCCTAAAATTATGTTGTTTATCTTTTTTCCTTTGAGTATTATATTACAAATCTGGATGCCTTGGTCTCCTATAGATAGTGGCCCAATATGACGAAAAATGCACTTTTAATAAAATTATGTTTTTCATTTCCAGAATAAACCGGTCGCGTTTTGTTTCCGTCATTTCGCGGTGGACGATACAGAAGTGGGAAGTCGACGCCATTACGGCTATCATTGCTGAGACAAAAAATACCAACCAAGGCAAGTTAGCAAATACAAATTATATACTACATGCCAGATGCTGTTGTCAAGCGTAATAAAACGCCCTTTGCCAGGTGTTATATTCTACGTGTTGTATATGGGTAATTGAAGTATTTTTCTGAAATATTTTTCTCCAAAAAAATTTTAGAATTGAAAAGGAAAAGCTCCCTCGAAGAAAATCGTCCACGGAAAGTGCGAAAGCTTGACTTAAATGCACGTATGTTGTACAAGAAAATATTTCAATGCTTATAGTTTTTAGCGAATGGAAACAGAAATTCTGCTCATTAAATAAATTCATTTTGCCGCCAAAATGGAAAGTGTTCCAAACAACTGTAAAGTCTTCACGGGATTGCTAACTTTTTTGCCGAATTTGAAAAGTTTATGGAAGTTTTAGGTTCTTTTAAGTTATGCACAGAAGTAGTCTGCTAAATAAACTTCAAATTCATTATTTTCATTTGTAATTGATTCCTGGCTTGCATTGATTATGAAAAGCTCTCGAGTCAAACCTGTATTTTAACAGTCTTACATGTTTGTACTATTCTGCTAAAATTTGTTTTTAATTTAAGCAAATCACAAAAAGTACATTTGTGCATGTTTCCTTGTTTTCAATTGCAGGTAGTGAGAACGGAAATCCGCATTCCATTCTTAAAAAAGTGACCAAATTCGTCGGAAGTTTATGGTCGTTTTCGCAAAAGGAAAACTGCCAATTACACACAATCACGAACGAAGCTCACGATGCTTCACCAGTTTCAACACCTCAGTTTAGTGCTAAAGTATTGCCTCCTGAAGCAAAACGTAAGCTTTTCTGCATTATCAATTTATGATGTGAAGTAGCTCGAGAGTGGAAGCCATGGAATGGAGGACAGAACAAAGTACGAGATAGTGGAGAAAAAGAGGTGTTATGGAATGGTTGTGGAGAGGGAAAAACTTTGGAAATAAGAATGAAGAAAATTTGAAGTAATGACAAAAAAAATGGAAAGGAAAGCAGAAAATTTGAAGCTCGGAACAACCAAGAATATTAGTTTGAGAAAGAGTGTTCAGAAATCATACTATGTTGGAAAATATAAAAGAAACAGGGAACTGAATCTATGCTATTTAATAAAATCAAAAAATATATTCTAGAAAACGTAGACTATGTAGTAAATAGTCTGTGGTGAAAAATGACTATACAGAATACAGACTATAGACTATGCATAACATAGACTACAGAGAAAATAGACTATAAAGAAGATAAACTATATAAAAACATATAGACTATAGAAAACATAGAGTACATATAGTACACAGACTATAAAAGTACATTGACTTATAGAGAAAATTGATTAAATCGAACATGGATGATAGGCAACATAGAGATCATAGACTATAGAAAGAGCATAGACTATAGAAAAAGCATAGACTTTATAGAGAATATGTTGTATACAGAACATAGGCTATACTGACTACAGACTTTAGAGTAAATTGGTTATAGAGAACACAGACTTTAGAGAACATAAACAATAGAGAACACACACTATGAAGTAAATCGACTCTAAAGAACATAGTGTATGGAAAACATAGAATATAGAGAGCAAAGACTTTAGAGAAAATAGGGCATGGAGAACATAGGCTGTAGAGAACATGTAGTATATATTTGGTGATTAATCTATGGGAATAGATAGAATTTAGATACAGGAGCACGGCTTGCTACTAATTTTGCTCTTGATAATTATTTTTTGGACATGTTTAGGAAACATCCGTTCCAGTTATAGCCGTCGTATGCATTCAAAGCGCAAAATTGCTTCTTCGTCTGTTCGAAGCAGTCCCAGGATCGCGAAAAAATACAATTTGCAAAATATAAAGGTATAGTTGGGTGTAGTTGCTCTGGAAATCATGTTCTTCCTGTGTTCATGAAAAGACCATCTGCCTATAGGCAAAAGACTGATTTTTATCTATGCTTTGTGTTCGTGCACTAAAAACCAATAGCAATGGATGAGATTGTTTTTTATGCAGAAGTAAATAACATGTTTGCTAAATGAATTAATTAACAAGTGTAAAAATTGAGCTGTATTTTGTCAACGATCACATGGTGAAAAGTTGTGTTCATGACTGTTTAAATTTATTTCTAGAGAGCCGAAAAGTCTTCTGGGAATGAATGGGTCAACGAGTAAGTGTCGACACTGGCTGCACTTTATCTTTTTACGACTAAGCTGTATCTTTTGTTTTTGTACCGATGTGCTCTCGAGTGCTTACAAACTTTTTCTCGGTTTTTATGTGCGTATGATAAATGGTGCGACTGTTTTGTTTTCTTTCAATTTTTGATGCATCCTTGTGAAATTGCATGCATTTTGTATTGTTTTTCTAACAATGACTTATAAGACACAAAGCTGCTTTCTTGCAAATAGTTGGTCTTCGTCTGAAGCCTTTTGTATTGAGACATATGGCGACATCAACAAACATGTTTGCAATGCATTTTGGTTGGCTATGTTTCGTTAAGAGGAATTCATAGTGAGCATATTAGTCAATACAAAAAGATTAAATTTACCCTCTCGTGTTAATACTGACAGGTTTTTCCTTCGGTTCGAGTTAACGGCAGTTCTTTTTGTTTTAGGTCCCCAAACACAAGGCAGGCTTTCAAAAGTTTCAACACACCAACTCCTCTTAGATTAACGAAGGTTAGTATGATGGATATTTTAAGGGTTTTTTAGGGCGATATAGAGTCTTCCTTATGAAATAAAGTTGCTTGTAGTTTATGGGGAGATTGATTAAACGTGCGTCAGAAAAGTGCTTAAATTGTTACTTTTGCATATTTGAAATCCATCTTACACTTGCACAATAATATCGTTTCCGTGGTGAGGGAGTGAGATTACATGGCATTGTAAATGTCATTCATCAGAAGATGCATATTTCATATACACTAGCACGATCGTTCATCAGATGATGCATATTTCATATACACTAGCACTATCGTTGATCATAAGATGAATATTTCATTTACACTAGCCCTATCATTGATCAGATGGAGCATATTTCATTTACATTAGCCATATCATTGATCAGATGGAGCATATTTTATATACACCAGCACTATCGTTGATCATAAGATGCATGTTTCATTTACACTAGCCCTATCATTGATCAGATGGAGCATATTTTATATACACCAGCACTATCGTTGATCACAAGATGCATGTTTCATTTACACTAGCACTATCGTTGATCACAAGATGCATATTTCATTTACATTAGCACTATCGTTGATCAGATGGAGCATCTTTTATATACACTAGCACTATCGTTGATCATAAGATGCATGTTTCATTTACACTATCCCTATCATTGATCAGATGGAGCTTGTTTCATATACACTAGCACTATCATAGATCAGATGGAGCATATTTCATAAACACTAGCGCTATCGTTGATCATAAGATGCATGTTTCATTTACACTAGCCCTATCATTGATCAGATGGAGCATATTTCATTTACATTAGCCCTATCATTGATCAGATGGAGCATATTTCATATAAACTAGCACTATCGTTGATCAAAAGATGCATGTTTCATTTACACTAGCACTATCATTGATCAGATGGAGCATATTTCATTTACATTAGCCCTATCATTGATCAGATGTAGCTTATTTCATATACACTAGCATTATCGTTAGTCAGATGGAGCATATTTCATAAACACTAGCGCTATCGTTGATCATAAGATGCATGTTTCATTTACACTAGCCCTATCGTTGATCAGATGGAGCATATTTCAGTTACATTAGCCCTATCATTGATCAGATGGAGCATATTTCATATACACTAGCACTATCGTTGATCATAAGATGCATGTTTCATTTACACCAGCACTATCATTGATCAGATGGAGCATATTTCATATACACTAGCACTATCGTTGATCAAAAGATGCATGTTTCATTTACACTAGCACTATCATTGATCAGATGGAGCATATTTCATTTACATTAGCCCTATCATTGATCAGATGTAGCATATTTCATATACACTAGCATTATCGTTAGTCAGATGGAGCATATTTCATAAACACTAGCGCTATCGTTGATCATAAGATGCATGTTTCATTTACACTAGCCCTATCATTGATCAGATGGAGCATATTTCAGTTACATTAGCCCTATCATTGATCAGATGGAGCATATTTCATATACACTAGCACTATCGTTGATCATAAGATGCATGTTTCATTTACACTAGCCCTATCATTGATCAGATGGAGCATATTTTATATACACCAGCACTATCGTTGATCACAAGATGCATTGTTTCATTTACACTAGCACTATCGTTGATCACAACATGCATATTTCATTTACATTAGCACTATCGTTGATCAGATGGAGCATCTTTTATATACACTAGCACTATCGTTGATCACAAGATGCATGTTTCGTTTACACTAGCCCTATCATTGATCAGATGGAGCATATTTCATAAACACTAGCGCTATCGTTGATCATAAGATGCATGTTTCATTTACACTGGCCCTATCATTGATCAGATGGAGCTTATTTCATTTACACTAGCACTATCGTTGATCATAAGATGCCTGTTTCGTTTACACTAGCCTTGTCATTCATCAGATGGAGCTTATTTCATATACACTAGCGCTATCATAGATCAGATGGAGCATATTTCATAAACACTAGCGCTATCGTTGATCAAAAGATGCATGTTTCATTTAAACTAGCCTTATCATTGATCAGATGGAGCATATTTCATAAACACTAGCGCTATCGTTGATCATAAGATGCATGTTTCATTTACACTAGCACTATCATTGATCAGATGGAGCATATTTCATTTACATTAGCCCTATCATTGATCAGATGTAGCTTATTTCATATACACTAGCATTATCGTTAGTCAGATGGAGCATATTTCATAAACACTAGCGCTATCGTTGATCATAAGATGCATGTTTCATTTACACTAGCCCTATCATTGATCAGATGGAGCATATTTCAGTTACATTAGCCCTATCATTGATCAGATGGAGCATATTTCATATACACTAGCACTATCGTTGATCATAAGAGGCATGTTTCATTTACACCAGCACTATCATTGATCAGATGGAGCATATTTCATATACACTAGCACTATCGTTGATCAAAAGATGCATGTTTCATTTACACTAGCACTATCATTGATCAGATGGAGCATATTTCATTTACATTAGCCCTATCATTGATCAGATGTAGCATATTTCATATACACTAGCATTATCGTTAGTCAGATGGAGCATATTTCATAAACACTAGCGCTATCGTTGATCATAAGATGCATGTTTCATTTACACTAGCCCTATCATTGATCAGATGGAGCATATTTTATATACACCAGCACTATCGTTGATCACAAGATGCATTGTTTCATTTACACTAGCACTATCGTTGATCATAAGATGCATGTTTCATTTACACTAGCCCTATCATTGATCAGATGGAGCATATTTTATATACACCAGCACTATCGTTGATCACAAGATGCATGTTTCATTTACACTAGCACTATCGTTGATCACAAGATGCATATTTCATTTACATTAGCACTATCGTTGATCAGATGGAGCATCTTTTATATACACTAGCACTATCGTTGATCATAAGATGCATGTTTCATTTACACTATCCCTATCATTGATCAGATGGAGCTTGTTTCATATACACTAGCACTATCATAGATCAGATGGAGCATATTTCATAAACACTAGCGCTATCGTTGATCATAAGATGCATGTTTCATTTACACTAGCCCTATCATTGATCAGATGGAGCATATTTCATTTACATTAGCCCTATCATTGATCAGATGGAGCATATTTCATATACACTAGCACTATCGTTGATCATAAGATGCATGTTTCATTTACACTAGCCCTATCATTGATCAGATGGAGCATATTTTATATACACCAGCACTATCGTTGATCACAAGATGCATTGTTTCATTTACACTAGCACTATCGTTGATCACAACATGCATATTTCATTTACATTAGCACTATCGTTGATCAGATGGAGCATCTTTTATATACACTAGCACTATCGTTGATCACAAGATGCATGTTTCGTTTACACTAGCCCTATCATTGATCAGATGGAGCATATTTCATAAACACTAGCGCTATCGTTGATCATAAGATGCATGTTTCATTTACACTAGCACTATCATTGATCAGATGGAGCATATTTCATTTACATTAGCCCTATCATTGATCAGATGTAGCATATTTCATATACACTAGCATTATCGTTAGTCAGATGGAGCATATTTCATAAACACTAGCGCTATCGTTGATCATAAGATGCATGTTTCATTTACACTAGCCCTATCATTGATCAGATGGAGCATATTTCAGTTACATTAGCCCTATCATTGATCAGATGGAGCATATTTCATATACACTAGCACTATCGTTGATCATAAGATGCATGTTTCATTTACACTAGCCCTATCATTGATCAGATGGAGCATATTTTATATACACCAGCACTATCGTTGATCACAAGATGCATTGTTTCATTTACACTAGCACTATCGTTGATCACAACATGCATATTTCATTTACATTAGCACTATCGTTGATCAGATGGAGCATCTTTTATATACACTAGCACTATCGTTGATCACAAGATGCATGTTTCGTTTACACTAGCCCTATCATTGATCAGATGGAGCATATTTCATAAACACTAGCGCTATCGTTGATCATAAGATGCATGTTTCATTTACACTGGCCCTATCATTGATCAGATGGAGCATATTTCATTTACACTAGCACTATCGTTGATCATAAGATGCATGTTTCATTTACACTAGCCTTGTCATTCATCAGATGGAGCTTATTTCATATACACTAGCGCTATCATAGATCAGATGGAGCATATTTCATAAACACTAGCGCTATCGTTGATCAAAAGATGCATGTTTCATTTAAACTAGCCTTATCATTGATCAGATGGAGCATATTTCATAAACACTAGCGCTATCGTTGATCATAAGATGCATGTTTCATTTACACTAGCACTATCATTGATCAGATGGAGCATATTTCATTTACATTAGCCCTATCATTGATCAGATGTAGCTTATTTCATATACACTAGCATTATCGTTAGTCAGATGGAGCATATTTCATAAACACTAGCGCTATCGTTGATCATAAGATGCATGTTTCATTTACACTAGCCCTATCATTGATCAGATGGAGCATATTTCAGTTACATTAGCCCTATCATTGATCAGATGGAGCATATTTCATATACACTAGCACTATCGTTGATCATAAGAGGCATGTTTCATTTACACCAGCACTATCATTGATCAGATGGAGCATATTTCATATACACTAGCACTATCGTTGATCAAAGATGCATGTTTCATTTACACTAGCACTATCATTGATCAGATGGAGCATATTTCATTTACATTAGCCCTATCATTGATCAGATGTAGCATATTTCATATACACTAGCATTATCGTTAGTCAGATGGAGCATATTTCATAAACACTAGCGCTATCGTTGATCATAAGATGCATGTTTCATTTACACTAGCCCTATCATTGATCAGATGGAGCATATTTCAGTTACATTAGCCCTATCATTGATCAGATGGAGCATATTTCATATAC